GTCCTAATGCAGTAAAAGAGAGCAGGAGCAAGAGAGTAGGATTGTATCAGAATGAACAAGGGGGTTTTGCTTGCCTGGCACTTCTGAAGATAATATAGCTCTTCATCGGTGTCATTGATCACATCACCGGTACAACGTCTATCGAGGGGGGAACAACACCGGCAAACACAGAAGAAACACGATCAATGCAATGCACAATATGATGCATGCTATGACATGGCAATATGAATGTGTTTTGGGCTAATGCACCTAGTTATGATTTAAATGAAGTTGGTTTGAATACATGATTCAAATTCCAACTCCATATATGGTTATTTAAATGCCCTTTATTTGTTTTGTCCAAAACAGAGGACAAACATTGTTCAAACATGCATGAAAATGGTACAGATGGATTCCTTGAATTTTTCTGATAATTTTTCATATATAAATTATTTCATTTGGAGTTAAGGTTAATTTTTTATGATTTATTGAAGTTTTAGCTATTTCTGGAATTTTCCTGATTATTTATAAAATAAACTAAATTCCAGAAAAGGAATATTGCGTCAGCATGGCGTCATGCTGACCTCAGCAGAGTCAACAGGGGCTGGTCCGGGTCAAACTGACCAGTGGGGTCCACTGGTCAGTGACACAGCGCCGGCTGGAGTCACAGACATGTGGGGCCGGTCAAATGCCACGTCAGCGAGGTCAACGCCGACGCGTGGGGCCACTGTGATTAATTTAAATTAACAGGAGTTAAGCTGTGATTAATTAGGGGCGTGGGGCCCATGAGTCAGTGGCCTAGGGGGTTGGTTAGTGTGGGGGGGTTAGCCGCTAACGACGGCCACGTCGGATTCGCCGGCGGTTGGACGACGGCGACGACCCAGAGCGGCGGTGGCTCGCCGGAGTTGCGCCAGGGACGACGGATCGACGCGCCAAGGGCACCAGGAGGTGGCCCGTGGCCGTGCGCATCCAGGGGAACCAACGGAAGGGTGCGGGGTGGACGGAGTTCGCCGGAAGCGAGGTTGTGGCGGCGGCCGGAGTTCGGGCGCCGATGAAAACGACGACACGGTGCACGGGAGGATCTACGGTTAGCGCCTATGCATTCTATGAGAGCTCACGAACCCAACGGAGGCACGCACGGGACCAAATGGCCACCGGAGCCTCGTCGGCGATGAGCTCGTGCAGCGGCGTGCTGTCGGGGGAGAGAGGCGCGGCGGCTACGGCATGCTAGAGAGAAAACGGAGAGGGGGAGGATGATCAGGAGCTCACGTGGAGTGCAGTGGTGGCCTCGGCGTGTTCGGGGAAGCTCGGACGGCGACGGGTCGATGATGGAGATCCGCGGCGGCCGACGATGAAGACGGCGATGGCGGCGACGTTGCAAGGCTTCCGGAGGGCTGTGGATCTGTGGGGAGGAAGAGGGGGTCGAGGCGGAGCTCCTGAGCCCAGCGGAAGGGCGAGGGGTGGCCGGTGGCTATGGATGGGACGGCGGCGCCCTCCGGTGGCTCTCGGTGGTGCTCCAAATCGAGAGAGGGAGAGAGCTAGAGCGAGCAGAGAGAAGGGATAGCGCTCGAGGGGGTCGAGGGCGTCTCCGTGGCGTTGCGGGAGACGTCCAGGGGGAGGAGGAGGCAGCCAGGCAGGGAGGAGGTGGCCGGGGCGCGTGGCCGCGCGCGCCGGGCGCGTGCCCGTCCTCCTGGCAGGGAGGAAGACGACAGGGGAGGCCCAGATGGGCTGGGCCGCATAGGAACTGGGCCGGCTGGGCTGCCAGGTGAGCGCCAGTAGTTTTCTCTGCTCTGTTTAATTGTTCTGTTTGTTTTATTTTTAAATTTATTTTGCCACTGTTTTGAATTTAAAATAGTTCAAACAATGCCAAAAGCTCCTCTGAATATTTTTATTTTGCTAGATGGACTTTTCCAAAAGCTCATAAAATATTTCAGGGGTATTTGAAATTATATTCTAGTTATAAGAATATAATTCAAATTCAAATAGCTAATGATTTAAATTAAAGTCCCAAGATTAAGTCCTTAAAAATGTTCAATATTTTGGTTGGGACCAGAACCCTTTGCCAAAATTATCAAACATTTAAGAAGAGCAATTTTGGAACAATGAATGAGATTTTAGGGTTTTTGCCCTTCTTTTATTTAGGGTTTTGAGGCTTCTAATTTCCTCAGTTCAAGTTTTAAAAATTTAAACATGATGCACAGATGGAAGCAAGCATAGGTCAGGCCAGAACTAGGGATGTGACAATGAATATTTTTCATTAAAGAAAAAATTTCCAAATATTATTTTGGGTAGAACCAGAGAGTGAATGATGATTAGAGGGGGAAATAAGGCACTGGGGTGAAAGCCAAGGGTACCCAAGTGTTTAAGTCCAAATGAAAAGATTCAAAATCTCTAAATTTCAAAATCAAACCAAATGAAAACCAGGCCAATAAAGGAGGGCAAAAACCAGGCTGTCACAGAAACCGGCCGAGTTGATTGTACTAGTATCCAGTGGAAGAGCGCGTTTAAGAGCAGGTGCAAACCATACACACAAAGAAGGGCTTTGCTAGACTCACGTAAGGTTACGTAAAGGAAATGTGAAGCACAGTGGTTGGAGGGATTAGGGGAGGAAGGGATCCACCCCGTGAAAATCAGGAAGCAGAAGTTTAGTTACGAAGTTTACGTAAGCTTTCGTTAGGCTGTTCGTAGATGTAGTATTATTTCAAAGAGAATACATTTGCTTTCCTCTGGATTTGTTGGCCTCCAAGGCCAGGCAAGTGATCCAAACAAAACGGTCGAATAGGGCAGGCTCCACGTTGAGGAGAAGCCGGGTAGAGGAGGGAGGAGGCCACTGTCAAGTGAACCATCGGTGCGTGCGCTGGGCTGACTTCTTTGACCTGCTGACCACTCGTAACTTGACCATAGATTGTTGACTTTTATGAAATTGGAATACAAAACAGGAAATTCACAAATTTGGAAAATGTTTGGAGGATTAAAAAAGTTCACGACTTCGAAAAATGCTCATGGATTTAAAAGGAAATTCATGATTTTCATTAAAATCATAATTTTTTTTAAAATGTTTCTAGATTTTCAAAATAAATGTTCACCAATTTTAAAAAGTTTGTGGTGTTGAAAAAAGTTCACAGATTTGAAAAAAATTGTGACTTTTTAAAAATTTCATGGATTTAAAAAAATCATGTATTTTGAGAAAAGGTTCACACATTTCAGAAATTTCGAAATTTTAAAAAGTTTCATAGATCTGAAAATATATTCATGGATTGAATAAATTTCATGAATTTTAAAAAGAATGTGGATTAATAGGGAAAATAAAAAGGGGGAAATGTAAAATAAAATGAAAAACCAAAATAAGTCAACACAAAAAACCCAAATAAAACCAACCAACAGAACCAGAGGGAGCCTTCTAGAAGATTCCCAAAACCGGTCTAGGAAAGACTAATATGGGCCGGAACAAACTCGCTAATGACATGGACCGAAATTTGTCTTTGTAAAAGGGCGACCCAAAAGACCCTAGGTAATTAATTAGAACAAGAGAGAGCACTGAGGGGATGTGAGCCACACAATATGGGCCGACCCACTTCAGTGTTTACACAGTGCGGCCAACCGGTTTCGGAAACCTTCTAGAAGCTTTCCCTAAACCATTTTTTTCTCTATGTAGTTTCTTTTCTGGGTTTTTTTTGGTTTTCGTTTTGGCTTCTTTTTATTTCCTTTTTTTTAATTATCCATTTTTAAATGCTCGTGAGTTTTCATAAAAAATGTTCATGGATTCTTTTGAAAATAGTTCGAGTTCTCAAATGTTTATTCAGAATTTTAAAACAATTTTTTTGTAAAAATGTTCGCACATTCAAATTTTGAATGGAATTTCGAAAAATGTTCTTTTTTTGAAATTGCTAATATATTAGAAAAATTATTTAAGATTACAAAAATTGTTCACTTTTTAATAAATTGTTCGCGTTATTCAAAAAATGGAATTACAAAAAATGCCGCATTCAAGAAAACTGTTTGGAATTCAAACAAATATGTGTGCTTTCAGAAACATTTCCATTTTAAAATGTTCACAAATTTGAAGAAATGTTGAAGAAAATTCAAAAATTGTTTCAAATCTATTAGTGTAGGAAGTTCTTAAACACTCGCGCTACCCATCTGTCACCGACAGCCAACTGCTCCCGTGGTTAGCAAAAAATGTTCCGAGCGGGACAGCCAACTGTTCCAGTGGTTAGCGACAAATGTTCCGAGTGAGACGTCGTGAGTTCGACTGCTCGCCAACCAACTGTTCCAGTGATTCACATGTACTCCTTCCGTCCGGGTTTATTAGGCCTAAAGACAACTTCTCTTAGACCAAGACACATAGTAATTTGCTCACATTAATTCTTTCATTCCACTCCCAATGCACTCTCTCACATGCATGCAGCCAATGAAAAAGCACACATGAAATGTATTAACTTTTCAGCCATGACACCTACAACAATAGCTTTCAATACAACCAATGAAATGGTTGCATGCATGCACCTTTCCAACGCGGGGCCTTATAAAAAAGGACATTCTTGTGATGCTGAGAGGCCTAATAAACTTGGACGGAGGGAGTATATTCAGACTAGGAGGTCGTGAGTGCACCAGGGCACTCCATATTGGATTTTTACGCGTTGCACTTCGGTTCCTGTTATCAGGCCAGCCCAGTCGCTGTCCCCTATGCGCGCTCAATAAATTCAGTTAAAAAAAAGATGATTTATTCTGCTAAGGTACACAACAGGAGAAACATCTTAAAGTCTCAATATTATACATACATAGCCGTGACAATAGATTAGTTATGTTCACGAGGGCTCATCTTGTGCAGCCATCACCACGCATGATACCACAACGGGGGACGCATAATTTCATAGCCCGCGAGATGGAAAACCCAATACATAAAACTCACGTATATATCACCATTAATTGATAATGATATTAATCATATGTATGTATATATTCTCCGATCCGATCTTATTGTGCTATTCCTTCCTCAAGAATCCCTGATCAGCCCTCGATCAGGCATCGTCCTTGTCTTCAAATATATCAAGAAGGGAGAGAGCCTCGGTGATGCTGAGCTCCAGCCGGAACTTGGGCCCGTCGTAGTGGTGCAGGATAGGGCGGAAGGCGTCCTCCTCCAGTGGGTCGCAGATCTTCCTTGTGGCCACCCTCACCTGAATTCATCGATCGTTGCAAATTGTAATTAGCAAGACATACAGAGAGATTAAGTACATACAGTAGTACTCCAAGTTAGGATTGATCATCCTTAATTTTGTTTACACGCAAAATGCCAGTGCAAGATTAATTCGGTGTTGTTAATTTAAGGCATGTTTGTTTTTTAGTACCAGCATTAACTTCAAACACTTCAAGCTAGTGATCTTGTTTGAGTTCCTAAAAAAAGTAACCATGCTTTCGAAAAGGGGCGATTCATATTACTTAAAAGGTTTAAGCTGACCTCTGCATAAGTAAGATGCACACAGCCGAACAAAGTCCCCTCGCACGAACAAAATAAAAGACGGAATACAAAGGAACATGTAGAGTTACATTAGCACCTAAAGCGATGATGGGCCAATCCTTAAAGTAATCATGTTTGAGTCCCTTAAAAAAAGTGATCTTGTTTGAGTCCCCCTCTATAGAAGAACCGAGAGTGTGTTGGCAAGTGTGCTAGTTCTAGAAGAACAGGTGGTTGGCCTAGGATTGACCGGCCAACCAAACCTAATCGAGGTGAGGTTGTTGGACAGTCACTAGCAAAGTTTTATGCCGACGATCTACTAGGTTCCAACTAAACAAGACAACAACATCCATCTGTTCAATATAAAGATAAAACTAATTGATCGATTGCTTTTACTAGTCATTGATCTCATCTCCTTCCGGATCAAGCTAGCCTTGCAACTGCCTCGCCAGTTCATATCTCTAGCAACTTATGTTCGTAGAATTATATTGATATCAACTTAATACCCCCTCTGTCGCATAGTATAAGAACGTTTTTGACACGGATGCCATGGCGAGTGAAGTTACCTGTGCAGGGAAGCGAGACTCGCCGTTGCACTTCTTGTCCTCCCAGGCCGCCGGGTCGATGTTCGCTCCGCCAAAGCTCGCAGCCTGTGCATGCGATTCAATCAATTCAACATTAATTAATTTGTGATCAAATTGCAAACAAGATAGCAAATTAATTTGATTATTGTAACTAATTTTACCTCGAAGATGCCGTGGAGCTGGTGGGTGGAGTAGTTGTAGAGGAAGAGGGGCAGCCCTGGCCTGATCGCCCTCACTGAATCTCTGTATCTGGATGGCAACCCTGCAAATCAAAGTAACCAAACCGTCACTAGACTAGATCTGATCTGATCAAATTAGTTGAAGATGGCTTGATTTGATCTTGAGGATTAGATACAACTAATCTAATCGGACGCCAAAAGAAAAATTGAAGAGAAAAATCTTGCGTACCGAAGAGCTGCCTCTTGAGGTTCTCCTCCATGGTGTCGTTGTTGCAGACGAAGATGTAGCCGCCGATGGGCTCGTTCCGGGGCAGCGCCTCGGACGCCGGCAGCGTCTTGAACCGCTTCTCCGACGCGGCGCCGTGGTTGTTGTCCCCTCGCTCGTTCTTGGCGTGCTTCTTCTTGCCGTCCGCGGCGCCCTTCTTGCCGCCGTAGCCGCTGAAGTTGTTGCTGCTGCTGTTGTTGTTGCTGGCCGGCCTCCCGATGGACTTGTTGAAGTAGCTCTTCACCCCCTCGTTGCCGCCGTTGAAGTTGCTGTAGCCCCCGCCGCCGGCAGCCATCTTGTTGAGCCCGAAGCCGTTGTTATTGGTGTTGTTGGGCTTGGCACCGTACAGGCCGTTGGCGTTGGCGTAGGGCTTGGCGTCGGCGGCGGCGGGGAGGCTGACGTTGTTGTAGCGGTCGGCCTTGCTGGTGGTGGTGGCGCCGAAGGCGAGCTTGCCGGAGCCGATGAGGCCGGGCCCGTTGAGGCTGCCGTTCATCTTGGCGGCGGCGAATCCGGTTCCGGCGTTGTTGTGGGCCGCCTGGGAGGGGGAGAAGAGGCCGGGGTCGGCGTTGCGGGCGCGGGGGGCGGCGTCGGCGGGGGACCAGATGGAGTCGCCGAGGGAGAGGCCGGAGAAGGTGGCCGTCTGGAGGCGGAGCTGGTCGCCGAACTGCCAGAACTCGCGGTCGTAGCCCTCCATCGCCATGGTACGATACGGTCTCCGCCGGCCGCCGCTGCTGCGCACAGTTGTGGTCGGTCGAGCTGCGTCTGCGTGGGTTGCGGGGTGGAGAGGAAAATGGAGGAGGCCGTGGGCGGGGCGGAGGGGCTACTTTTATCGGGCGGACAGACAAGGTGCGGTGTGGTTGGTTGGTGGGGTGGCGCGGTTGGATTGCTTGCTTCCAGTGGAAGTAGCTGACCGTGCCTAGTCGTCTGCTGTGATCTTGTCAATGGTCGCCGTGTCCGGTGGGTCACGCAGTGGGACGTGGCCGTGTCGTCGGGGGAAGCTTCGCGGAAGGCGCGCAAACCGCGTCCGGGGATTGTTGAGGGCCGTGATGAGGGCGACCGCATGGGGATTCAATGTTTCGGTGGGATGGGAGGAGACGTGGAGGCCCCGGCCCGGCCCGCCCACGCGGCTTTTTTTGACTCGCTGCTCCAGTTATCTTTTCTTTTTCTGAAAAAACAAAGTTATCTTCTAGAACATGGGATGGCTTTGCTTCTACTCTCGCTCTCGTCCCAACTTTCACACCAAATTTCTCACTGCTCCCGCCTTTTCTGATTTTATTACCGTACTAAGCTTTACGATGAACACGATAAGACGAAATTGGCACTCTTTGCCAAGAGGATTGTAATGAACCACCTTGATTGAAATGAAATTAATATTTTTTGCAAAAAATAAGAACTTTTCTGAGTCAGTCAGCTGCTCTCAAGAGTCAAGACCGGTGCTCAATATTGGAACAGAGTTCCAGCAGTTTGCTTTATAGCTTAATCAGGCTTCTCCATGCCCATCATTTGTCCAGATGACAAGCGTCATGCCACTACTACTACAGAAGACCCTAGTAATAGGGCTTGAAATATGCATAGCAGTAGCGTTGGGTCCAGCGCTACAGCTAAGTTGTAGCAGTAGCGCTGGTATAGGCAGCGCTATTACTAAGTATTGTTAGCAGTAGCGCTTCTTAGACCAGTGCTACTGATAACTATCTGTAGCGCTTTTTCATATGAAGCGCTGCTGCTAAGCTAGCGCTACTGCTAGGTGCTCTCCAGCGCTACTGTTAATGTTTCTGCTTTCGCCGACCCTCACCCCCTACGTATTTATGGTGTATTTATACAGGCTCTATACAATAGTTTTATCAGATCATACTAAACATACACTATTCTCATCATATCATAGACATACATTAGTCTCATCATACCATCATCATCATCATCATCATTCAACACAAAAATCATTAAATCTCAAAAATAGCGATACACAAATGCGATCATGTCATGTCTCGAATAAGTGCAACCGCATGGTCATGGCACACACACAAATTTCATCATCTCTATCTAAACCATGTTGTAGAAGAGAAGAGCGATCAGCATGAGCAAGAGCGCGACTATGTAGTACCAGCGGTCCCGCCCCTGCTCATGCTGGAGTGTCCACCTCAAGTAACTACTTTCCGCTTCAGCTCTGCTGTCGAACCCTCTGTGGCTAGCACCCGGGTACCTGTGCACCTGGACCTGAGCGGCTGGCCAGTGGTCGTAGACTCCTAGAACCCTCCCAACGTACACGGCATAGTAGCCCTTCGCCATTTCTAATCTATGTACCTGCATCGTGAGTTGATGAATTGAACGATAATATACAACATAATGTACTTAAGAAAACAAGGAGGCATAATTAGCAAAATACAAGCAACCAATAGTAAACATAAATGACGAAGTTCCTCATACCCAAACTAATTAACTAGAGCGATCTACGCTAGTTCAGGACCACGGTTTAGTTACATCACATAGTTTCGCCGTGCATAAATTCAAAGTTCTGCCATAGAAAGACAGTAGTGACACATTGTCATCAACAATCAGTCATCCATGTCGGCGGTCCAATCTTCATAGTCAGGGAGGAAGCACCCTAGCTTCTTGAAAGGCTTCAGGTCCAGACGTTGAGCGAGTAGCGGTGCTCAGACATCTTCCCGCATGATTGGCCCATGGTAGAACATCCATGTTGGTTCGAGGACCTACTTCATGATCACTTGGGCAAGTTCACACTATACGTGATAAAACTCAGCTCTGATTCGATGATCTGGTGTCCTTCCTATGCTTGTGGCCCAGCTGACAATCTCGGCATCGTTGGTAGTAGGTGACATGCGAAGGCGTTGATTATCCCTTCTGTACTCGAGCAGGTGATGCATGAGGTAGAATCCATCAGCCATACTGGTGTGCGGTTGGTGGATGCAGCAGAAGTTGGTCTTATGACTGAAAGCCAGCCCGCGATTCCTGTATTTTTTCACCTCGATATATCCACCAGACAGGATGAAGGTTAACAGGGCACTGTCGAGAACACTCTTTATGTGCTTGTAATCCTTTTTCCTGAGGTTCTTCGATGAGTCCAAGTACATCGCATGGGAGTATTCCGGGGACAGAATGATGAGGACGCCCCCCTCCCCCGCTGCGCAAATTAAGTACACCTCAAATTAGCCTCCATGCTTGCAAAGGAATGATTAACACTTATGAAAGGATTTGTGCGGATGACTTACGTGGGATGATAAGGCAAGAGAATCACTTCCTTGTCCTTATTAGCGATCATGAATTCGCCGAGGTACTTGCTCGCATAGTCACGGTGCTCTTTGCAAATTGCCAAGAAGCTCTCATGCATATAGAACGGGTCCGCGACGCAGATATATTTGATGTTCTCGACCCTGATGAAGTGGTTCAGATACAGCGCATACATGCGGATGAACTGGAAATCTAGCTTGATCATGTGGAACATGTCGTAGATGTAGTCAAATCGCAAGATGAACTTATTCGCGGGCCATCTCTCAATGTACAACCTCCCACCTGGCACCTGGGCCGCGTAAAGCGGGTATCCTGGTTTTTCCGCGACCAGAAGGCTTTTCTCTCTGGCTAGCACATCTTCATGGAGTCTCCTTAGATCATTGTTCACTATGTGCTCTAGCGCTTTCGCAGGTAGGATCGGCTGGCCGGCGACATGGAAGCGCTGCGCACCTTCGACAGGTATTTTGTCTACCACCCGGGGCTCCAGAGGCGGCTGGCTGCTTGAAGCAGCTCTGGCTCCTTTAGGGCCTTTCTTGTCCGGTCTCCTCCTTTGCTTCCTTGTGGGTGGCGGTAGTGAGCCCACCATACCTTCCCTAACCGACACCCCCAGTGTCGTCGGGCTAATCAGTGGACGGGCCTCGGGGGGTTGCTAGGTACAGGTGGCATCTGGAGGCGTCTCCTGCGAGGATCGCTTGAAGAGAGACTTTTTGCATTCCGCCTTAGGACGTTCCGGCTCCGGCAAATCAGGCAGCATCAAGTCATCATCTCCACGCTCATAGCCTGAGTCTTCATCGTCCTGAGCCATCAATCCTCCATCATCATAGGCGGTATTGAAATACTTATCTGGGTCATCATCATCATCCTCCATGTCATCATCAACATTTGCTTCTTTAACAACGGGGGCTACATCATCTGGCACTAATGAAGGCTCTCCCTCGCGTCATCCGCTATCACTCGCCACGACAGGTGCAGGTAATGTGGTAGGTGGGGTGGTGTTCATACCTTCTTGAGAAGGTGGCGTTAGCGTGATACTGGGAGCCTCGAGACGAAGAAGAGACTTGGGCCAAGGCAAGAACCAGCTCTTGCATGCGCCAATCATCTTAGGGGTCTCGCCGTCATCGACTAGTACCAGAGGAGGCAAATCCTCGAAGCCCGCTAAGACACTGGCCACGTTAACCTTGAAGACGCCATCGGCCATCTCTCGGTTGTGAAACATGCGGTCCTTTGGCTTCACGATCGTTGCCTTTCGCACGGTCACCTTCTGGCCCTTGATGTCGTAGAGTAGGGTGCACGGGGTGTCGTCGGCCTACGAAGGAGACATGTCTGCGACGTCAAACATCCGAAAGGCAACTGAAACGGAAGACTATAGACATGATGGTGAAAAGGGTATGACGCGTAATTACTGTGAGGGCATCGAGCTCAGCCAATGATGAAGGCCCACCGATCATGTAAGAGACGGAGGTCGGGCTGCTATGAACAGGAGCGGGACCTTTTCCGGTTGCTTGAGCAGGTGCTGGTGCTCTGGTGTTCACCGAATTGCTCCCGACAAAGCTGGAAAGGGGAAAGTCCTCCGGCCGTGCATTTGGATTGTTCTTCGTGAAATCCCATAGTGTCGGAAGCAAGCTGACCACCGCGTCAGTGACCGCTGTAGAGACGGCCCCGAGCAACTCTTCTTTGGTCTCAACTTTGGTCTTATCGATTGCAATCCTTGACCTTCTAATCGATGCTCTGCTGAGTGACGACCGAGCGTCTCTTCCTTCTTTCCTCTAGCTCCTCGGGGTAGCTTGTCTTCCACGAGGTGCCATCTCCGACGCCGTGCACACGTCCATAGGATGACGGCTTGTCCACCGGGACCTTCTTCAGTATGTTCAGGGCCCGGTTGAATGGGGTGTCCCACTTGGGCCTCGCTGATGACTGTGACGACTCATCGCTTTCGGCTGCCTTTTGGTGTTGCTCTTTCTGCAAAAGGAACGTGGATGGTTTACTAATGTGACAAAACTTGCAGTCGAATTGATTGGAAGCTATAATATGATAATGTGGTAATATAACAATTACCAGAAGTCTCATGAAGTCCCTCGTGATCGGGTCCATATAAAAGAGCTTTTTTTTCTTTGTCCCACTTGTACCGGCCCCTGATCCAGTCATGCTCCAGCGGGTCGGTGAACTCTGCCAAGGGGTCTGGGATTCCGTGACCTTCACGTTCGGCGTCCTCCTTGGCCCATACGGGCCTCTTTACCTCGTGACCACGGCTTCCGAGGCGGTGGGGAGGCGTGTTCCTGACCTGGAGCGCCTTCATTTTCTCTGACTTTGCCTTGACTTCTTCTTTAGCGCAATTCTCCTTGAATTTTGCAAAGTCCTCTTCCGTTATTGACGGATTGTCAGCATGAATCTTGGACCATGGTTCATTCTTCGCAATCGCTTTTTTCACCCGAACTTTCCAGGAGGACAAGTCGT